CCCAATGCCCCCCCTAGTATGGTAGCGTGTTGATTGTGTGTGAGGTGGAATCAACAAGCATCTCAAGGTTGCAAAGGTGGGGAAACACTGGCCGAGAGGACAGGAAGAAGAGCCGCTACCAAGGAAATGGTCAGATAAATGGGGCTTGAGCCCGGGCCAAGAAAACAACTAGAGAAAATGTCTCAGATAAGCCCCTCCCTAGTCCACATAAAGATAAAGCATAGGCTTGCAAGATTGAGTTACTGTAGCTGTTGCAATAAGCAGCCCTGACCTACGGTACATGGCGTTAGTTTCTTAATCTGTTCTACCTTGCAGGGCTGACACCAGAGAACTTTGGTAGTTGAGTGCTCAGATAGAGATAAGTAAGCAAACCTATCTGGTCGTGAGAGCATGTGGACTCTCCCTCTGGGGACCACAGGCACGCGCCTGGGCCTTCCCTCTGCAGGGCTGCTGCTCTTCCCCAATCTGTCACAAAGGAAAGGCCTCAGGCCGGGGGCCCAGAAGGGAGATCCAGATGGGAGCCCGGGAAGGTGCTTCCTGCTGGACTGGCCCACTGGCCTCAGGACGGCCTGCACTGACTTAGACAGGCTTCTCCCGTTTCTTTTGTTTCAGCTCTTGCCTTACGGTTGTTATTGGTCTGTTGCTTGGTGCAGACGGCATATGATACAGGCAGCCCTCACTCAATGATGGCAACTGGGACTGGTAACTCTGTCGTTAAGTGATGTGGTCATAAAGCACATCACGCGAACGCACCCACTTACGATGGCAGCTGCAGCAGTTCCAGTTGCCACTGTTAGGCAAACCCTACGCAGTCACTGTGTCCCGCGGTCACGTGATCGCCATTTGCAACCTCCTGCCAGCTTCCCCATTGACTTTGCTTGTGGGAAACCAGCAGCGAAGGTCACAAATGGTGATCATGTGACCACAGGGGTGCTGTGATGGCCGCAACTACAAGGACCCATAACTTCGGTCACTGAATGAGCGGATATTGAATGAGGACTACTTGTGCTGCTGGACAAGCACTGAAGAAAATTTGCCGGAGGGGGGAACGTATTGCCACGTAGCCATTGCCACCTGCAGAAAGCGAGGGGGATGAAGATTATGAGGGTCTGCGTGCACGCAATCCGATACACACACTCCCAAGCTCAGAAATCCTATCATGACCCATGACAGGTGGACAGCCTTGCAGGATTGGGGAGGCCATTTTGCACACTGCAAGCTAGAGAAGGAAATGGTGTGCCAAGCCCTGTTGATTTTAGCTCACCCACATCAGCTGGGAAGTTCAGAGCATCTGAAGAGGATTAGCTTGGGGGAAACAGGCTTAACAGGCTTGCTCCTTTTCTCTTATGCTCAGGACAAATGGGGACTGTTGCTGAGAGGTGCAGACCGGTGGTTCAGGCTGGGGCGCAAATCCCAACTCATCCCGGATCAGTCCCTGCCTTACCCCAGAAAGGAACATTCATCTCCTTCAGCAGTCTCTCGCACTGATCCTGAACTACAACACTTATTGAGTTGGCTGAGGATGATGGGAGTTTTCATCAGAGAGCAGCAGCTGAGAGAGAATGAAGGAAAGCAACTCCCTTTCAAACACCCCCCCCTCCTGCTCTGTGCCCTGCAGTCCCATCCTGTCAAACTCTGGCATGTCCATTAGTTTATTTAAGCAATGCACAGAGCCCCCCAAGAAGTACCCAGAGCTGTGTGTGTTGAGCAGGAGAAGAAAAACCAGGTCACCCATGTTGTGTGAATGCAACCAATAGTGTACCACATGCTTTGCAATCACTCCGTGAAATGGTTTGGCTGAAAAACTGCAATGAGTCACCCGGTGAGTTTCACAGCGGGTAGACACCTGAAATTGAGTTTCGCAGCCCAGCAATCTAGGCATGATACCAAAAACAGCCCCAGTGGGTCATGGCTCTTATTTAGCCCAGAGCATCTTTTGGAGAAGCCCCACCTCAGAAGGGCTGGCGGAGTGAAGGAACCAGATGCTTCTTTGTACCCAAAGCTTACAGCCCTCACACAGAAGCCCCACCGCCAGCCGCTTCTATGCGTCACTTTCAGGGACCGGCAGCTCTCGGGCCTGGTTTGCTGGCACACCAGGGGGCTGGCTGATGAATGATGCTGCTGCTGGTGGTGCTACCAGGGAAGGGGCATTCGGGAGGGATCAAGAGGTCTTCCTGGTCCCCGGTGGTCACCTTATATTGCAATCGATGCCGGCGCCCCTTGAGGTGCATGTCCTTGGCATTGGGGTCGTTGAAGCTGCGCTCGCAGAGTCTACAGTAGAAGCGGACCATCTTCCCCTTCTTGTTGTGGACCTGGGGAGGTGGGAGAAGGAACGGGGTCACCAGGTAGACACGGCCAGGCCGCGCAATTCCATCCTGCTCCAGCTTGGCTTTACTTCTCAGGCCCCACAAAGCCCCACCTTGGCAGATCTGTGGGAAAGAAAGGTCAGATGGTACCACGGACAGCGGCGGGAGGTTGCCGCTCTGCCTGGCTCAGCAGAAGAAAGCGCAGCGCAACGGTCAGGGAGCTGCAGTAAGGCCCGGGACAGCCAAGTCCAGGTTCACCATGGAAGCTCTGGGGACAACTCTGGATCACCCACTCTCTCTCAGCCAAGCCAACATCAAAGGGCTGTTACGGTGGGGAGGAAGCAGGACAGAGGATTATGCCACACTGAGCTCCCGAAGAAAAGGTGGAATGGGAATCTAAAGCTTGAATGAACAGGGAAGGACAGCCCCCAGTGGAAAGCAGAGCTAAAGGCGAGGCCAGAGTCCTTACACCACATTGCTGTCAAAGACCTGTGGGCCTCGGTGGGGGGCTGAGTGGCACGCCAACAAAAGAGTCAAATTCTGGTGAAAACAAGAGGATCAGACGCCATGGATAAAATAACTTCTCTCCCATAGGATTATAATTGTTTTCCACATTAATTCTGAATTTAGACAATGCAATTTGCAAATATTTGGTTATCACTGAGGAGCTTTGGGTATTTTTATTTTTATCTGCACCACTGATTGATTGATTGATCATATTTATATAGTTGCCCATCTCACAAAAAAGTGACTCTGGGTGGCGTACAACATTCAGTTAAAAAACCCATAAATACATATAAAACAATCATTAAAACTATAAAAACTATAAAAACACATACAACAGGAGAGGATGATACTAACTGTAGTCAGGGAGCCATCACAAAATCTCCCCTGGGATCCCCCAGCCTGATCACACAGCCAGGTCTTGAGGGACTTTTGGAACATTAGGAGGGATGGGGCTAATCTCACTTTCGGGGGGAGGAGATTCCACAAAGTGGGCGCCGCAGCAGAGAAGGCCCACCCCCCGGACCCTCCAAATGGAATTCCCTGGCAGGCGGGACTCACAGCATGCCCTCTCTGCCAGACCTGATGGGATGGGCATATGTAATTGGGGAGATAACCCTAACCATTATGGTGCCACTGCTATCACTGCTTGTTTAAGAAGACACAACCAAAGGATAACTCCTTTTCCAATTCCTGTGTGTCTTGTTTGAAGCAACGGCACCGGGAGTATGAAATCTTTACATGCGTGCACCTCCATTGCCTTAATTGCACCTTTGGGTAACTCATGAACCGTTACAGCTATTTCTAGAAAGCCACGTAAGAATTACTGGCAACCTCTACAAGCCCTTTCCATTCGGTTAGAACAATGAACTTCCCACTTAACGAGATCAGTGCAAGGACCATGAAAAGAATCGCTCGTGGGCCAGGTAAAAATAGAGTCCGCTTCTTCCTCAGGAGGGACGATCATTCAAATTGGATGGCTAAGGAAGTAACAGCTTTCAGTGTCCCAACATTTACAGAAAATTAAAACAAAAGCCAAAACCCAACAACAACAACAACAGGCACAATTAAATAGCTCACCCTGCACAAACACAATCCAGTTGTGAGCAAACAGCTGGCTGGAGCCCCAACTGGGAAGACGTATAGCAACATTCTGAAGGTTTTGAGTTCCGTGCCTCAAAGTTCAGATCGAAGTTTCTGGTGAGACTACGCTCTAAGGATTGGGAAGAAATCACCCTAATTGCAAAAGATCTTCTCCAGATCCAGGGCTTACCTCTTCCACATAACCATGGCCCACCGGCTGCACATCAAGCAGATCTCCCAAACAGTCTCCAGAACTGTCAAGTGGAAGCTGTTCTACCTCAGACACCGTTTTCAGTTGCATCTCTTTGACCTCCTCTGGTTTCAAGCTGCTCCTTGCCCGAAGTTTGCTTGCTCCTAAACAGGAAAAGGCACCCCGCCATGTTTTTTAGAATCTAAAAAAAGTTTCAGGACCTTCAGTCAGTGCTCCCACCCACCAGCTTAGCTTGCAAAAAGCGGGATGGGGGTGGGCACATCAGAATCAGGTTATCACATTAACTGTTAATTATTCTAGGCTGCAGAATGTAGAGCCTGGAAACAGGATGTGGTCCCCATAATGCAGTAGGCTGCCCTACTTGAAAGCATTGTTATGCAGGTAAATTCTCAGTTGTCCTAATGGAAGGGCCATAACTGCTAGTGGGCAGAAGCTAAAAAGCAGCAGCTTCCAGTTAAAAATGTAGTTGTTTTTTTAAAACAGCTGTTTACCAGTGGAAGACTGCCTTAGAATGTGGTGGGTGGTATCTACTTAAAGTGATGCAGCAAGGTGTTAGGGAGGTTATTGTGGCAACACACTTGCCTCTGTTCAGACTAGATGATCACCCAGGTTTCTTCCAGCTCTTGGCATTTTGCAACTACTCAACTATCCCATTTTTGGGGTTCACTCAATACCAGGGGCTGCGACTAACTGAAGGGCTAAGCCACAAGAGTTAACCAAGCTTTGCACGTTGTGTGAGTGCACCTGTAAGGTCTTTAATTGACCTGGCTAGACATGCTGTACAAGCTCAACCCGGAACTCTGATCCCATGAAGGAGCCCGCTCAATGGCCTTATCCTTCTGGCCTCCCTTCTCCAATCTGTACCTGCTTGGGAGAGCTTTGTTGCAAGGGGTTTCTTTGGGGCCAACGTCTTGCTGGTGGCAACGCTGTTGGTCATCCCCACGACAGGCTTAGGGGGTCCAACGGATGCAGCAGCAGGCGAGGGGACAAGGAGAGCTTGCTTCAGGGCTGGGCTGTTTGCAGGAGCTGAAGCAACGCTGACTAGCACGGGTTCGGGGGAAGGGATCGGTTTCCCCAACTTGGTATGCAGCTTGAGAACCTGGAACACAGGCACCTATAGTCACCACAGGGCAAAGACCTGGCAGCATTTCTATTTTGCAGTGCTTTCTATCACTTGACAATCCCCTGGTGTGTTGGACTCCGACACCAAGGGTTCCTTGGGGGTTGGGAGCCAGCAGCTCTGATGCAGGAGGCAGAAAAGAGCCCAAGGTTTCCAGGAGCAGCATGAAGTCCCACCGGGTTCTAGAGCACTGCCATACTCGGCGCCCGACTCCCAAAGTGGCTGGAACCCACCTTCTGATGCTTTGCTCCTCGGATGTGGGCAATGTAAGCGTCGGCTCCTGTGCAAGAGACGTCGCAGAGCTCGCAGTGAAGCTGGGCCTGGGCCCCCCGAAGGCCGCTTCCACCTGCCTGGTTCCCCGTCTTCAGGGCTGCCTCTCTTTTGGCGTGCTTTTGCCCTTCTAAGTGCTCCCGGTATGTCTGTGGGAGGAAGAGGGGAAAGGCGGGCTCTGTGCAGATTTTGCACAGAAACACAGCAAACAAAATCCAGCACCAGCTTAATGCTTAAGAAAGAGGGTTGAACTGGACCACTCCTCTCGGAGGTTGCTCTTCAGGATACAGCAACCTGCCGCTCTGTGAGGGAGCGAAGTTGGGAAAAGCAGCTGCAGCCAGGCAGAAACGCTTCTCGCCCCGCTTCCAATTCACTCACAACTTTACTCACAAGCACCTAAGCCGGCGTTCCAGCTGCCTGTGAGAATTGAGCCACACCTTGGCGTGTTTTCAAGGACCTGCCGACATGCAGAGGCAGCCCTGCCCCACCCAGGCAAATGCCAAGACAGAGTGGGGAAGCGATAAGCAAACGGCCTACAGACGGGGAAGTGGAGGCAACGTCTGGAGCTTGGCAGCTGTTACAAGCGGGCAAGAAGACTGATCGGTCAACCGCCAGGACTACACGTTATGGGGAGCAGCCTATCCTGGTGGAAATCCTGCCTGGAGCTTTGCTGGGAGCAACTAGAAGAGGAACAACCACCCTGAGGTCGCCCCTCACCCCAACTAGAGTAAGAATGTTTGGAAGGAGGCGAAGGTTGTCTGCCACTTACAGACTTACAGACTTTTGCTTGAACTAAGTATTAAACAACTGAGTATTAAAGACGCATTTATAGCAACATCGCCTTGCAAGTCCTAGATGGGCGGAGAGCAGTAGCCTGTTGCTGGGGAAAGTGTGTGCTGCAATAAAGCATTTTGTGCAGATTTGCTACGCTAAAGAACGCTCACACACTCCTTCATTAAGATGGAGGAGCTTCTGCTTGCACGCCTGCTTGTGACCCCAGAATGAAGAAATCCAGCCCAGCACAGGTTAACAGCTGACGTTTTAGGAAAGCAACATCTGCAGGACGTTCAGGCAGGGCTCGGGCCAAGCAAAGGCACGGGTCCCTCTTGCTCAGGCATGGCTCTCTGGACGTGGCTGGCCTCCTTATTCCTTGGAGTCTGAGCCAGAGACTCTGCCAGCGGTAGCCTGGCATCCAGAGGGCCTTAGGGCCTTCCTTCCATAATCTCTGCAGGACCGGCCTCATCTCTCACTGGCCAGCTGGCGACTTGGGCGGCTCTCTGAACTGGGCCACAATGACAGGCAGAGTCTCCATCTCACCTGGGGACCTGCACAGCTGATCTTGCAGATGTCACAGTAGTGGAGCTGGGGCTGTCGTGGAGCACCTTTCAGCTTCAGGAGCTTGCTGGGAAACAGAGGTTTCTTGTAGTTACTGCTGGCAGTGGAGTTGGTGCTGCTGCTGCTGCTGCTGCTGGTGCAACCCCACTGGGAGCCCCCTACGGGCTTTGGCGGCTGCGGGGGAGGCGGTGGCAGCGGCGGCTGCTGAGGGACTGGGTAGTAGGATGCGTTGGCCGCTGTGTACGCGGTGGCATCATAGCTGGCGTAGTTTGCCCCTGAAGACAGGAGGAAGAGAAGTGGGCTCCCATTGGTGTAATTCCTCCTTCTCAGCCAAGGAGGGGAGGGGAAGAAAAGGAGGGGAGATGCCTGCAAAAAGCTCATACCGGAGTAGGAACCTGGAGAGGAGTTGTAGGAGGAAGAGGTGTATGAGGAGGATGGGGTGTATGCCTGGGCGGAGGAAGCAGAGATGGCCGTAGGGCCCGGGTAGGCAACGTAGCTGGAGGAGGAAGTGCTCCCAGTCTGGACCGGCTTCACAGGCGTCACTTGCCTCTGGGGCTGGTTTTGGCTGTAGGCCACCGCAGTCTGGCTGTAGCCACTCTGGGCATCTGCAAAGGGCCGACAACAGTTCCATGATGCTTTCTGCCCAATGGGGTCGGCCCACAGAACCCCCGCTGCCCCCACACTCTTTCTCTGAGGTCAGAGCCACGTGAGAGTTCAGGGAACTTGCCCAGGCCTTGTCTAAGAGATTGGCAAAAGACAATTTAACCCTTATGAGTCCTGCCTCCCTCTGTTTATTTACAAGCTAAACTTGTAATGTAATCTAATTTTGGGGCGCGGAAAACCTTTGTGTGGCAGCCCGAGAATTCGTTTCTTCACTTCAAGCAGAACCCGTGGGAAGTGTGCCTACCTGGCTACAGTGCTGGGGATTCCTTCAACAATTTTGAACCCTCCCGCGCCTCACCAACTTCCAGACATCAAATCTCATCAATGACATTAACAGCATCCTACCGACTGCTCCCTGCAAGTCTGTCCAAGGGCTGCACGCAGGCACTCTGAAAACTCACTGGTGTGATAGTAGGAGTCTGTGGCCACATTCTGCAACTGGGTGACCACCGTCTGGTAATAGGGCTTGGCCTCGTAACTGCCTGCTGCTGGCGCTTGCCCGTAGCTGTAGCCATCCTGCAGCAAGAAAGTGGGATGAGAAATGAGCAGCCGAGCCACTTCCAATGCTTGAGCAGAATGACAGAAGGTCATGCCAAAAAAGGCTTTTATCAGCGTTCTGATTTTAGCCGCCTTCCTCAAGCGGATGCCTTGAAATCTGCTGGGATCGAGACTCCCATTTAGATTTGTCTAGCTGGAAATTCCAGCCACAATGCATCTGAAGGGCATCAGGTTGGAGAAGACGACATTGAGGAAACAGGGAATGATGTGTGGTTCTGGAAAATTTTCCTGATGCTAAAATCACAGGGATCTGATTCAGAAAGCTTGCTGATTTTTAATTAGATGACTGCCACTGGAGCAGTATACCACATTAATTTTCTGTGGTCTACGAAGGGCTTAAAAATCTACAACAGTCCAAACTATCTTGAAATGAGAATAGTTCATTATTCAACAACATACACTTTACATAACTCAATCAAGCACACTTTGAAGCTTTATCTGGAAACTCCAGTTCCTGGAACATTCAGAACATTTTAAGACCCAGCAATTCAAAAACATATCTTTTCCTCACTTTTAGGTTATTTTAAAAAAGTACAGAAAACTTGTTAACATGCTATTTTTACTGATTAATTGCAACTCTGACACTGTACAATTTGATAAACCGATTGGTTGAGTCCGGATGCAAACTTGGGCACGTATATTTCCTTGTGTGAAATGTCAGAAATATCTGATTCTAATTTAAACTTGCCAGAGATTATTGAAAGAGCCTACTAGCACCTTTTCTGACAAATATTATTCAAAGGCAGAAGTTTTCTTGAGCTCCTGTTCATGGAAGCTTCTGTCCTGTAAAAAAAATGTGTGGGTTGGAAACGATGCCACCAGATTCCTCCTAATTTTTTTTTGCCACTGTAGACTGTAGACTAACACTGTAGACACGGCTCTCCTCCTACAGAAATCCAAACGGAAGAAACTGTCATTCAGCTAACCTTTATGTAAGCCCACAAAAATTACAAACTCCCTAAGAGCTCCCTTTCTTAGCAGTAGCACAGAAAGGCAAGAGAGTAAAGCGTGTCAAATAAGCCGGCACGAGAGGGCATCCACAGTGAACCAGCTCCTTCTCATCAGCCCACAGCATTTCTGTGCTGATATTTTGATTTCAGCAAGGAAACCTGGTAGGCTGGCAATGAAGAAATGAATTGCCCCCCACTCTTTCCACAGTAACTGGTTTATGTCAACCTGCTTAAGTACAAAAACTGCCTCACAGAGATTATTTTGACCCTTGTGATTTTATTTTTTTAACAACCTAGCTGACATCTTGCTGCTTTGCTTCCATTTTCCTTACTGGCCTCCTACTACATAACAGAATTTGCATGTACGGTATAAGCCATCAGAATGAGTCTAGAGTGGAAAAAAAATCACGTGAAGTGTTGTTCGCAGCTGACAATGAACTGCAGGCAAGCAGGAGACTGGAGTCAACTCTCTTCCCCCGGAAGCAAGCAAGGAAACAACGAACACAATGTTCTTTTTTTTAACGCATTACAACTGTTAACTGTTAAGTCGCTTGCAATCTGTCTCACATATAACTTGCATCTGTATAGGCAAAATGTCTTCCCCTCCCTTTTTTCCCTCTGTCTCACCCCAGTTTAAATCCTACATCAGTCTAGACCCTTTACACATCTTACGAAGTGAGCTGTAGCTCATGAACACTTAGGTCTTTTGTTAACTGGAAAATCTGTTAGTTGGAAAAGGTGCTCCCAGACTCCTCCTGATTTTTGGACCCAAGGAAGCAATTTCATTCCTCAGGGTGGAGGCATCATTCCTCCTTACCATTCCAGTGAATACGGTGCTGCGGCCTGAGTTAACATGTGAACGGTTCTGAACCACAGCATTTAACCACAGAAATGTTACTGACTGAAAAGGGCATTTTCCTGAAAGAGTCTTGTCTTCTGAGCATTTCAAAATGCTATTGCTGATAATCTAGGAAGGTGATGCATTTTTCCCAAGCTCAGGAAAAACCATCCAAGGATTTTGATTCGATACCTGATAGTTCTGGGTCACGGCAGGCTGAGGGGCGGGAGCCAGTTGCCGCATCCCATATCCGCAGTCTTGCGTGGAGGGGGGCTGGTAACCTGGGTAGGTTGCAGGTGCCACTGGCCTGGCAGCTTGTATAGCTGGAGTGTAGGCAGGTGCGAGGGTGGGGTCAGTTCCTGGCACCTGCTGGACAGAGTAGCTGACGGCTGTTGGGGGGTGGGAATATGTGGGAGTCGTCTGGGAGCTGTAAAGAAAGGGATGAGGAAGAAAGAGCAGTTAGACAAAAAGCAGCTGCACGGTGAAACATAAAACCTTTTAAAAGTAGATGTCTTGGGGCTGCTAGAATTCTTGGTCAGCAATAAAATCTTCACCAGTCAGACTTCAGCATTTACTATGGCTGTGATAGCTGGCTTAGGAAGCCAAAGGCCTGCCGGAACTGACATGTTGTGCCAGCCAAATGTCCTCAAGGATGAGGCTAAGCAGGTCTTCCCTTGGCAAGGGGTTCCAAAGCCTTGAACCATCCCCCAAGAAGGCCCTCCTCTACCAAATATACAGTCAGGTCCAGAAATATTGGGACATCGACACAATTCTAACATCTTTGGCTC